CTTGAGGGACTCATTTTTCTGGCATCACTGTTCTTGACAGCAAATATCTTGTGGGGAAGTTCTTACCTTTGTAGACTTCCTAAAATAAGGAATGACTTCATCTTACCAAGTTTGAGAATGGGGACCAAGTGGAAGCAGCCTTCCCAAAGTGCTTTGTGATTAGGCCCAGACTGAGCCATCCCCTCCTCATCTGCACCCCCTTCTCCGTCTATTTGAGTTTGACCGCCTCCAGTGGGATGTGATAAGAACCAGCTGTAGGGAGCTGGGGAAGAAGTCTGGGCAAGGCTGGGTCCCTGGGTCCATTAGGGCTGGCTGCTGTAAAGACAAGCTGAGGAGAGCAAGCAGAAAGTAGAAGCCATGAGGACAGCGTGGTGTGTAGTCTGTCACCCCACGTCCACCTCAGTGGCATGGGGACCTGCAGGAGGAGTGGGCTGCACCTGGCCCAGAATTCAGAGCCTTTCTAGGAGGGTCTGGAGAGCTCTGGTGGGCAGTGCTGACTGGCAGACTAGTGACAGTTTGTGCAACACCTGGCATCCCATGGACCTGTGGCACACACTGGCGGAGGCTTCATTTCCACCTTCTAGATCTCAAACTTCTCCTGTGGCCAACCCTAATTTGGAATCATACAGGGAGATGATTCTAGAAAACAATGTTCTAGCTTCTAGGTTGACTTGGAACATACCACACCCTATGCTTCCACAGAGCCAAGTATGTGGGGATCCCCCGCCATGTTGTTCCAGGCCTTGACACGTGGAATGTTCTCCTCGGCCTCACGACATGACCTGGCAAACTCCTACATCATCTTCAAAGCCCTGTAGGGATCTCACCTCCTCAGAGAAGAGTTCCTTTACATCTTCTGTACCTTATGACTTAGGATGTACAAGCACAGGCTAAGTGCTTCAGGGACAGACTCTAGTGCTCAGAACAACAGAGGCAAGCTGTGCCCCATCATATAGATGAAGAAATAGTGGCTCAGAGTAGTCTAGAAACTTGCCAAGCTCATACAGTGGGAACAGGTAGCAAAGCCATAACTCAGCCTGCTGTCTACGACTCTTCATATGATAATCCACTGTGACTGGAAAACTGAGGAAGACATATCCCCACCCCTGAGAAACTGGTTCGTGGAGGGGAAAGAGGCAGTTGGGGTAGTTAGTAGCTGGTGAACTGTACTGAGATTGCCCATGGAAGCAGCATATGGCTTTCTGGGAAGGGGTCCAGGTAGAGATAGGCTGTGTTTCCCACCTCGTGCTTCCCTACTCCCTCTCTAATGGTACCCTCAACCTGCAGGGAGGGGTGGGTGCAGCAATCGTCTGTGCTGTTCGCTGCCCACTTTCACCAAGGCTCTGGGGCCGGCGGGAGGACTGGGCGGCAGCTGCGAGCTCTGCCTGTCTCCAGGGCCCCGAGCCTGGCCAATAGGAAGATGGAATGTCTGTCAGCGGCGGGGATCGCACTAAAGGGCATTAGCCCGGCAGCCAACGAGTGACGTTCTAGCTGCCCACTCACTATGTGACCTCAGGCGAGTCCTACCACTCTGGGACTCTCGTTTCCTTATGTGGAAAACACGGGACCTGAACCGGTGGCTAAGTTTCCACGTTCACACGATCGCGCCCGGGGAATCGGGGTTATTTGGGTGTGGCCATTCTCACATTATTCCACCAGAGGGCGCCACATCTAGCCTTTGGTTTCTGAAGGGGTGATTCAGCCTGGAGAGCACAGAGGAGATGCTTGTGTGGACACCAGTGGAAGCAATTAGCAGTGTGTGTGTGTGTGTGTGTGTGTGTGTGTGAGAGAGAGAGAGAGAGAGAGAGAGAGAGAGAGAGAGAGAGAGAGAGAGAGAGAGAGACCTGCATCTGCCAACACCACCCTCTGTCTCTCATTTCTTAGACATCCACAGGCCCCTCCCTCACATCTTCATAAGGCCTTTTGAAACCAACCTACATAAAACCACTAGCATCAAACTTATTTAATGATTTAAATTTTTTAAAAATTGTAGTAAACAATATTGTGACATAAAATTTAATACCTTAGCGTTTCTTCTTTTTCTCCTCCTTCTTTTTTGCTGTGCTGGGGATTGAACCCAGGGCCTCACACACACACTTGTCAAGTGCTCTTAGGCCATTGAGCTGCACCCCCAGCCCCACCTTAGCTGTTTTTAAGGGAACAGTGTAAAATACATTCCTACTGTTGTGCAACCAATCTTTGAAACTCTCTTAATCTTGCAAAAGGGAACTTCTGTACACATTAAACAACAACTCCCTATTCTTTCCTTCTCCCAGCCCCTGGCAACCACCATTCTGTTGTCTGTCTCTATGAATTTGATTACTACTCTTGGCATCTTACATAAGGGCAATCAGATTATTAGTCTTTTGGGGCCTGGCTTATTTCACTCTACATAATGTCCTTAGGGTAAGGTTCATCCACATGGTAGCTTTGTATCAGAATTACCTGAGGCTGAATAATAATTGATTTAATGTTTATCCATTCATCCACTGAAGGACACTTAGATCATTTCCACCTTCTGGTTGTTGTGAGTTATGCTGGTGTGAACATGGGTGTACAAATATCTATCTGTGTCTCTGTTTTTGATTGTCTTTTCCATATTTTATTTTTCTGCATGGCACTTAACACCAACTTTTCCCACTACCCTAACTAGAGATGCAAATAATTTTTTTTGGAGGGGGAGATAACCCTAATTTTTATAATATTATTGCCTTAAAGGACTTTAACCAGTTTTGTTTCTAACCTAGCAACTTTATTCTAACCTTCCTTTTAAAATGCCAATAAATACTTAGTTCTCAGGGCCAGCTTTACCATCTTACATGTTATGTCATTCATGAGTTAATAAATCTTTGATATGTGTTCATTCTATGTTTGTATGAGAGTTATATTTTCAACTTTTAAAAAGTATGCACAGAGAAAAAAGTATGCATAGAGGGGTTGGGGTTGTGGCTCAGTGGTAGAACGCTTGCCTAGCACGTATGAGGAATGGAGTTCGATCCTCAGCACCATATAAAAATATATAAGTAAAATAAAGGTATTGTATCTATCTGCAACTGAAAATATATTTTTTAAGAGTACATATATGGGCTGGGGTTTTGGCTCAGTGGTAGAGTGCTTGCCTTGAACTCATGAGGTACTGGGTTCGATCCTCAGCATCACATAAAAATAAATAAATAAAATAAAGATATGGTGACTATCTACAACTAAAAATATTTTAAAAAAGGTATATACAGACATTTCAAAAGTTTTTACTGGGAGCATAGATCTGCCTTTGTGGGATGAAATTCAATCACATCTTAGTTTATAGTGCTGTCAGGCTGGGTCTTCAGGTGACCCGGGGCTACTGGAGCATCTGCTCTTGAATTGCGGTTCAAACTTATGTACTCTGCGGGGGTCTGTAAATTCTGGGAAGCTTTCATGGACTTGGACCTGATGGGTCCCTAGAGGGACAGTATGGAGAGGTGGCATGTCTGTGTCAGTACAGAAGTGGCCAGTACTGCTCAGCTCTCTTGTAAGTCAGGGACATTCTGAGAACTCCCTGTGGAGTCTCTTACTCTCACAGAGTCCCCATGAGACAGTCACAAGTTTGCAAATGAAAAGCAAGCTCAGTGAGTTTAAGTAACTCTAAAGATCATGGTTTAAGCAAAAATTTTAGAAGAAAGACAAAACCAAGTGCTTCTGTGTGCATCAGGAGGGTTGAGCAGATTTTCCCTCTAGTTCTGCAATTTCAGCTAAGATGGAGACTGAGAGGCGAGAGCTGGAGGCATCATCTGTCTGGTGGAAGCCTCAACCCTGGGGGCAGATGCCACCTACCCAGTGGTCTCCAGGAGAGACAGACAGGGCTTGCTGAGAGGAGACAGCTCAAATAGGCTCTCCCAGCGCCTGCCTCTCCCACCCTCATCCTGATGATATAAGAGGGCTGTCAAAGGGCATTGTCGCTTGAGGAAGTTCAGAATTCAGGAAAGGAGCTGTTTACTCCCCCCTCCTCCCTGTGGGGTAAGGAAGGAGAGGTATTTCTCTTATACCCCAAAGTGCAGAGGCCTCTGTCAGCCTCCCTCCTCTACCCTAAATTGAGCACTGCCAACCATCTCCTCTGACGTGACTGAGGAACTGGCCCAGTGGAGGACTTGGGCATCCTTGATGGAGACAGTGACCGAGAGCAGAGGGCTCAGTGGATGCTTGGCTGAAGGCTTAAGGGTGGCCTCTCATTTCCTCTGAGGGGCAAGGACGATGGCTGCTGCAGGAGCTCACTGTCTGTGAGACTCCGGGACGTGGCCTGGGTGTGGCCTAAGGGACCAGTATATCACTAGAGTTTGAGGGACCCCCAGCTCCTGAGGGCTGCCCACTGCTTGTTTTGTGGAACCCCTATGAAGCAGGTCAGCAGAAAAAGTCAGTTAAGAGGAGGCCTATGACCTTCCCAAGGGTGAGAACTAATGCAGGCGTCCTCCACCCACCTCTGTCCTTAAAGGATGCAAAGAAGTGGGGAGAGGGAAAGCCCAAAGCAAAGACTCCTCCTCCAGAGCCAAGAACCCTCATAAAAACCTACCCCAAGGACAGGGGTGTGGGCCATGTTGGTCGACCAGGAGGTGGAGGGGTGCACATGATGAGAACCCAGAGGGAGGGCATCTAAGAGACCAAACCTGCCCTGCCACCTCCATCAGCAGGTGAAAAGGCCAGAGGAGACAGCTCAAATAGGCTCTCCCAGCACCTGCCTCTCCCTAGCACAGCTGGCGCCATTGGAAGAGTAAAGATAGTCCTTGAGCCCCAGGAGCGCTCTGTGCCTTAGCTCCCCTATCTGTACTGGGGATAATAGCAGCTACTTCCCAGCAGCACTGTGGGCACTAACCATGTCAATCTATCCAGAGTGCTCGGAAAAGTCCCTGGCACCCTGGAAGGCGCTATCAGGACCAGTCCAAGTGTGACTCTCAACACCTCAGCGTTGGCTTCTCACTTTAGTCAGCCACCAGTGTCTCCGGGGACACACTCTGCTTTCTGCAAGGAGGAGAGGGAGAGAAGGGGCCTTGCTGTGACTTGGATATGGCCTGTCCCAGAAGGGAAGCTGGGAAACGACTAGAAGCGTGGCCCCAGGTGTGGAAGTGGGTGGGTGTAAACCTTCAAGAGGTGAGGCCCAGGGAAGGTGATTAGGCCACAGGCTCCACCCTGAAGAAGCAATCAGTGCTCTCGTGGGGTGGGTGGGGCCTCGCTGGAAGGAGTTAAGTCTGCCCAGACCAGATTGTTAAAAAGAGAGGCGACGGCTGCTCCCTTCATCCCTTCTGTGCTTGGCTTGCTCCCTGTCTGCTTCTCAACCATGCTGAGATGCAGCCAGAGGCTCTTGCCAGGACGCCGGTGTCATGCCATTTGGACCCTCCAGCCACCAGAATTGTGAGTCCAATAGACCTTTTTACCTATTTTCAGAATCGTTTTTCTTTTTTTTTAAAGACACAGAAATTGTACATATAAATGGGTTATTGTGATGTTTTAGTATATGTCCACTGATAAAAATTCTGAGATGTTCTAAACTTAATTGGAAAGGGCTCAAGGACAAAAGGAGGAGAGAAGGGGAAGAGGTGAATCAGTAGCAAGCCACAGGCTGGCAACAAAAGAGGCTGATTTACATCTCCATGTAAAAACCTTATGTTAAAACCTTAACCCAAATCCCATGGCAGCTGACCACAGGGCCTGGGTCCCTATAAACTTTTCAGATTGTTACCCCCAATGAATCCAGAAGCAATAATTACTTCTCCTTACTTCTTAGTCTACCCCCACATGCCCCCCCTTTGGTGTCATCCTGCCCCTCTTTATCTATAGCTGATGAAGATTAGGGTGCTTTCCTTCCCCAATGCTCTTGGTTCTGGACATTTTACAAATGCTACCCAGCTCTGCTACTAGAGGCTGGGGGAACCCATCCCAGGAGCTGGCCTTTCCTTTTCTGGCTAGCATCTGTAACTGCTCAATAAGCTCTTTTGTTTCAGAGGTCATTTGGTCTCAAGAGTTTAACAGTAATGTTAATGTGCAGTGTTCAAGTGCGGATAAATGTATCTATCTCTTTAAACATTTATTTCTGTGAAAACATTCACCTTTAGCCTTGAGCGATGGAGGGATGGAACTGGCTTCCTCAGCTTGGAAGCAGGTGGACCTCACCTCCGCTTGGCAGGGGAATGAAGCTCTGGGAGCGGGCGTTTCCCAATGGGAGTGGGCTGCCTCCTTGTGCTTTTGTAATACTACTCATTTACCTTTTTTGGATGGAATGTTCTATCAAACATCTCCCCTCAATAAAAACCAGAGTTCAGGGCGTGCTGTCTTTTTTATCCCATCCGCCCCTTGCATCCCTTGTGGGAGCTGGGGCACAGGAGCTGTCACAGAACCCCAAGAAAGAGGTATTTTCTCTGTCTCTGTGATTATTTAGTACCAGTTCACCTGGAGTGACCCTGACTGATTGAGTCGGGTGTCGCGGCAACAGTGCATTATCATTATCTGTAGTCCTCCTCCTGTGCAACAGCACTCTAGAACATGGATCTCTGATCTACCTGGCACTTAGTGCTCATTGCAAAGCCTCCCCCACCCCATCCACTGCTCTTCCCAGCCTCTGGTAACCTCCATTCTACTGTCCACTTCTATGAGATCAACCTTCTAAGATTCCACATGTCAGTGAGATCATGAGATAATGTTTTTGTGTGCCTTGCTTATTTCACTTAGCACAATGCCCTCCAATTCCACCCCACTTTTGTTGCAAATGATAGGGTTTCGTAGCTGAATGATACTCCATTGTGTGTCTGTACCACATTTTCCTTATTTATTCATCAGCAGGTAGACCCCTGGATTGATTCCGTCTCTTGGCTATTGTTAACAGTGCCACAATAAACGTGGGAGGGCAGATGTCTCTGTGACATCCTGACCTTGTTATCTTTGGATATACATCCAGGAGTGGGATTGCTGGATCATATGGTTCTATTTTTCAAGGGATTTCCATACTGTGTTCCATAATGACTGCTTCTTTACATTTCCACCGGAGTTGTAAGGGTTCCCTTATGTCCACGGTACTTCACTTTTGCCTTTTTGGTAGTAGCCATTCTAACTGGGAGGGAGTTGAGGTGTCCTTGTGGCTTTGATTTCCATTTCCCTGATGATCAGTAATGATTTTTTTTTCATTTGTATGTTATGTTTTGAGAAATGTCTATGTAGATCTATTACCATTAAGATCATCGTTAGCTTTTGAGTTGTCCGCATTTCTTAAATGTCCTGGATATTTATACCTAGTCAGATGTACCCTTTGTTAACATCTTCTCCCATTCTGCAGGTTGTCTCTTCCCTCTGCTGTTTCCTGTAGAAGCTTTTTAGTTCGATGTAATTACATAGGTCTGTTTCTGCCTTTGTTTCCAGTGTTTTGGGGTCTTAGCCAAAAAATTTGGGACCATTCCAATTTTTAAAAGCATTTGCCCTGGTTTCTTCTAGCAATTTTTTAGTTTCAGGTCTTATATTTACATCTTTATTTCATTTTTGCATTAATTTTTCTATGTGGTGAAAGGTTTCCAGTTTTATACTTTTGCATGTAGATGTTTAATTTTCCAGCACCCTTTATCGAAGAGATGGTCTGGTGCTCTTAGCACCCTTGTGAAAGATCAGTTGCCCGTGGGTGCACGGGCTTACTCTAGGCTCTCTATACTTTTCCATTGGTCTATGTGTCTGTTTTTATGCCCAAAACATGCTGTTTTGATTACTACTGCTTTGTAGTATATTTTGATATATACAAAGTGTGATACTTTGTTCTTTTTGGTCAAGATTTGCTTTATTAATTTTTTTTGCTTTGGCTATTTGCGTGTGTGTGTGTGTGGGGGGGTTCCATAATATTTTTAGGATTTTTTTTTCTACTTCTTTGAAGAAGTCATTGGTGTTTTGGTAGGAATTGCATTGAATCTGTAGACACTTTAGGTAATATAGACATTTGAATAATATTGATCCTTCTAATCCATGAACACAGAATGTCATATGTGTTTGTGTGTGTACTCTTCAATTTCTTTCATCAGTGTTTTGAAGTTTTCCTTGTAGAGATCTTCCACCTTTTTGATTAAATTTATTCCTAGGTTTTTTGGTGGGGGAACGGGTCAAGGAGAGCTATTGAAAATGAGATTGCTTTCTTGATTTATTTTTCTGGAATATAGAAACACTACTGATTTTGTTTGTTGATATATATCCTGCAAATTTGATGAATGCATTTATTCTAATAGTTCTTTAGTGGAGTCTTAAGAATTTCTATATTTAAGATCATGACATCTACAGTGATTTTTGACTTTTTCTTTTCCAATCTGGATTGTCCTTTGTTTCTTTCTCTTGCCTAATTGCTCTTTCTAAAATAAAAGTAGTGAAAATGAGCATCCTTTCCCAGACTTTAGACAAAAAGTTTTCAGCTTTCCTTCATTCACTATGATGGTGGCTGTGGGCTTGTTTATATAAAGCCTCAATTATGTTGAGTTTTATAATGAAGAGATGTTGAATTTTATCAGATGCTTTTCCTGTGTTTGAGATGATCATGTGGTATTTGTCTTTCATTCTGTTGGTATGGTATATTTTTATTGATTTATATATGTTGAACCATCTTTCCATCCCTGGGAGGAATTTCACTTAATCATGGTGAATAATCTTTTAATGTGCTGTTGAATTAGACTGCTATTATTTTGTTGAGAGTATTTGTTTTTTTTTTTTTTTTTTTAATTTTTTTTATTGGTTGTTCAAAACATTATAAAGCTCTTGACATATCATATTTCATACATTAGATTCAAGTTGGTTATGAACTCCCAATTTTACCCCAAATACAGATTGCAGAATCACATCGGTTACACATCCACATTTTTACATAATGCCCTATTAGTAACTGTTGTATTCTGCTACCTTTCCTATCCTCTACCATCCCCCCTCCCTCCCCTCCCATCTTCTCTCTCTACCCCATCCACTGTAATTCATATCTCTCCTTGTTTATTTTCCCATTCCCCTCACAACCTCTTATATGTAATTTTGTATAACAATGAGGGTCTCCCTCCATTACCATGCAATTTCCCTTTTCTCTCCCTTTCCATCCCACCTCATGTATCTGTTTAATGTTAATCTTTTCTTCCTGCTCTTCCTCCCTGCTCTGTTCTTAGTTGCTCTCATTATATCAAAGAAGACATTTGGTATTTGTTTTTTAGGGATTGGCTAGCTTCACTAAGCATAATCTGCTCTAGTGCCATCCATTTCCCTGCAAATTCTATGATTTTGTCATTTTTTAGTGCTGCGTAATACTCCATGGTGTATAAATGCCACATTTTTTTTATCCATTCATCTATTGAAGGGCATCTGGGTTGGTTCCACAGTCTAGCAATTGTGAATTGTGCTGCTATGAACATCGATGTAGCAGTATCCCTGTAGTACGCTCTTTTAAGGTCTTCAGGGAAAAGTCCAAGAAGGGCAATTAGCTTATAGCTTCCTTTCTTTTTTTTGGGGGGGGGTTGTGTTCTTGTCTGGTTTGGGTTTTAGGGTAACACTGGGGCTGGTAGAATGAAAGAATTCCCTCCTCTTCAATTTGTTGGAATACTTTAAAGATAATTGATATTGGTTTTTAAAATATTTGGTAGAATTCAGCAGTGAAACTATCTGATCCTGGGCCCTTCTCTCTTGGGAGTCTTTTTATAACGGATTCAATCTCGTTACTTATTGATCTGTTCTACAGTTATTTCTGTCTCTTTGCATCAATCTTGTTAAGTTGTTTATGTCCAGGAATTTGCCAGTTTCTCTTAGGCTGACAAATTTGCTGACATATAGTTGTGCATAATAAGTCTCTAATGATCCCTCATATTTCTGTGATGTCGGTTGTATTTCTTTCCTTTCTCTGCTTTTATTTGAGCCTTCCCTCTTTTTCTTAGTCTAGCTAGGGGTTTGCCAATTTTTCTCTATTTTTGAAAGACCACCTCTTTGTTTTGTCAACATTTTGCTTTTAGTCTTTCATTTATTTCTGCTCTAGCCTTTATTTCTTTCCTTCTACTAATTTTGGTTTGGCTTTTTTCCCTTTTCCTGGAGGAATAAATAATAGGTTACTATAAACTTTGCTTTTAGTGCTGCCTTTCCTGTGTTCCATAGGTTCTGGTATGTTGTGTGTCTACTGTCACTTTTTTAAAAAAAAATTTTTAAAATATTTTTTTAGTTTTAGGTGGACACAATGTCTTTATTTTACATTTATGTGGTGCTGGAGATTGAACCCAGTGTCCCCTGCATGCTAGGCAAGCACTCTACCACTGAGCCTCAACCCCAGCCCCCACTGTCACTTTTTAAAAACGTTTTAAATTTTCTAAATTTCTTCATTGAATATTGAGAATATATTGTTAGATTTCCATCTATTTGTATAATTTTTAATTTCATTAAAATTTTGTCAGAAAAGATATTTGATATGATTTCAATTTCATTTTGTGTGTGTGGGTGGGGGGGACTTGTCTTGTGGCCTTTTGCCGCAGTCTGGCTGGGCACAATTCAGGAGCCACTTGTCAAAAGAAACAAACTTTATTTTTAGAACCACACAAGCCAAACAAAACAGCTCCTCAGGAAAACCTCAGAGCCCAACTGCCACCACAGGCTTCCCACAAGCCTCTCCACCTCCCCCACTCCTCCTGCTCTTGAGGCCGATTGGCTGGGTTGCGTGGGTGGAGCCAAAAAAGTCCCCCAATGAGCAGCTCCCTGGTCTGAAAGGGCAGAGAAACAGCCCAATGAGCATCACTGCAGAGGAGCCAATCAGTTGGCAGCTAGAAGTTGCTGGGGCCGCTGTGAGCCAATCATCAGCCGGCAGCTGGAAGTTTGCTGGCAGCTGGAAGTTTGCTGGGGCCCCTTGGCTGTGGCTCTCAACACCTTTCATGTGATCTGTACTGAAGAGTGTTTCATATGCTGTTGAGAATGTATATTCTGCAGCTGCTGGTAGAACTGTTGGTCTCTAAAATGTGGTTTTTCCTCCTCTTCTTTTTTTTTTTCCTCCCTGATTTTCTCTCTGGAGTCTGTCTCTCTCTCCCTTAGGTCTACTGAAATTCGCTCTATATATTTAGGTGCTCTAATATTGGGTGTGTTTATAATCATTATTTCCTCTGGCTGAAAAGTCTACTTTATCATTATATATCATTATATAATGAACTTCCTTGTCTCTTTTTACTGCATGTGAAGTCTATTTTATTTAAATATGGTTACTCCTGATTTCTTTTGGATTCTACTTTCATGAATATCTTTTTCCATTTCTTTACTTTCAGTCTATATGTGTCTTTACAGGTAGAGGAAGACCATATACATCAATAATCACCTTAAATGTAAATGGATTAAATTCACCAAGCAAAAACACAGTGAAAGAATGAATTAAGAATTAAGACCCAGGGGAGAATATAATGCTAAGTGAAGTTAGCCAATCTCAAAAAACCGGTTGCCAAATGTTTTCTCTAATATAAAGAGGCTGATTCATGGTAGGGTAGGGAGCGGGAGCATGGGAGGAATATAACTCTAGATAGGGCAAAGAGGTAGGAGGGCAAAGGAGGGGGCTTGGAGGTAGAAAGATGCTGGAATGAGATGGACATCATTACCCTAAGTACATGTATGAAGACAGGAATGGTGTGAATATACTTTGTATACAACAAGAGATATGAAAAATGGTGCTCTATATGTGAAATATTAATTGTAATGCATTCTGCTGTCATATATAACAAATTAGAATAAAAATAAATAAAAAAATTGAGATCCGACTATAGAATACCTAAAAAGACATTTACTTGGTACTTATTTTCTTATTTTAGGTTTCTTTTTTCTTTCTTTCTTTCTTCTTCTTTTTTTTTTTTTGTGTATGTGTGTTCAGTTTGTAGTTTATTCCCCTTTAGTCTTGTGTGGCCAAGTGATTTTTCTCTAGTAGTGTGTTTTGATTACTTATTTTTAAAAAATATTTATTTTTAGTTTTTTTTTTAGGTGGACACAATACTTTTATATTTATGTGGTGCTGAGGATCGAACCCAGTGCCTCATGCATGCTAGATGAGCGCTTTACCACTGAGCCACGACCCCAGCCCCTGATTATTTACTTTTGTTGTGTCTTTTGGTAGATTTTTTCACTGTATTTACCACCAGGCTTAGAAAAAAACATTTTTTGATTATAACAAGCTATTTCACAATGATAGCAAGTTAATTTTGATTGTAAAGATGGAAAAAGAAAAAAGTAAAAAATACTAATAAAAACTTTATCTTTGCATTCAATTCCTTCTTCCATTTGGAATTTCTGACATCCCATTTTACAACTTGTTATATTGCCTATCTCTTAATATGTTAATGTAATTGTTGTTTTTCAGTATTACTAAAAATATAAAGGGTTTATCCATCATGTTTGGACATTCTGAATTTGTGTTACTCTTACTAGTGAGCTTTATACCTTCCTACTTTTTTTTTTTCTTTATTCACATCTTTCTTTCAGTTTGAAGAATTCCCTTTGGCTATTTCTTGCAGGTTAGGTCTGGTGGTGACAAGTTAAGCAGGGTACTTATTTTCTCTGAGCCTATGGTCACTGCCACAGCATCAGATGGCACCAAAACTCACGTTCATCAGGAGTCTGAGGTTGATGTATTGTCACTGTTCTAGCCTTAGAAGATGCCACCCGCCCAAGTCTGTCACAAATCTGCAGTTGCTGTGTTGTTTGGGATGGAATGGGGGAGTGCATAAAAAGGGCTGTGTATTTTTGTAAGTCTCTGCTTGGTGTGGGGTGGGCCCAAACACCTCATCCACAGGTACCAACCTGTGATCAGGCATTGCAGAATTCTGTCCAGTTCTAGGCCTCACATAGAGGGTCCAGTCTTAGTCTCCTGAGCAGTGACTTGTGCCTAACTCCTTCTTCTCTCCATGGGATAACAACTCTCAATATTGTGCTGCCTGGGTTTGGGGTAGGAATAGGAAGAGCAACCATATCAGTACTCAGGATCACACCCAGAGCCCATTGTCCCCTGAAACCAGGGCAGTACAAGGACAGGACCAAAGCCCATTTTGCTACAGCCTGTCTGCTGATCTGGTGTGCTTGTTGGCCCAAGACTGCAGCAGACAGGTAGAGGTGACGCTGGGCTGCACTATAAGCCCATCCTCCTGGGGCTTCTGATCTCTGCCTGGCACTAGTGTGGGTCCAGACTCTCCCTCTCTCTGCGGGCACTAGTCTGGGGACAGGAGCCATTGGGATCTCCCTGATGTTGTTTCACCTGTCTTACTGGGTGGGGTCCAAGGCAAAGTCCCATGCTTACTTCCCTGTAGTTGGAGTCTTGCTTTATATGTGTTGCCAGAGATGTAGGAGGGATCATGGAGGCAATCCCTTGGCCACCAGGCTAATGTCCACAGGCAGGGGCCATGGGGACTCTGGGTTTCAAGTCTAAGGCCTACAGTTAATTTTCTCTCCTTCTCCCAAGTGGGAGGCATCTCTTTCCATGTTGTGCTGCTTAAAGTTGAAGGATGGTGACATAACCAACCCTTTCCTTCCTGCTTTCTTCAGGGTGTCTCTTGTGTTAAAACCAGGTACTGCAATCTCTCATCGGATTTCCTTAGCTCTTGTGAAGGCAATTTTGTATGTGCATAACTGTTTAAATAGATGTTTCTGTGGGGAGATGACGGTTGGGGGGCCTTACTGTACAACTGTTTTGCTCTCCTTCCTAAACCTCTGTATAAGTTTTCCAGCCTCATGTATTTTGTTATAAAAATACAAAACAGACTAATATAGGTCCTCTGGAGCTGGACCACAGGAGGCTGCCACAGGACCACTGTACAATGCCCAGCGTCCACCTCCCAGGTGGAGCCCTTTCCCAGGGCTTCTGGCAATTCCAATGCACAGAACCTACGGGTCTGTGTCAAGTTTTGGGGGGCAATGATATTCTCAGAGAAAAATTGTGAAGAGTATTCTGCTTTAGAAAGAGGGCTGGATACTGTTAGCACCTCCAGCATACAGGAAGGTCATGCTGCTGAAGTTTGAAAAGTAGAATTACAAAGAACAATTCTTTTGAAAATCTTTCAGAACTTTCTCACAGAACCTTCCAATGGGTCTCCAGGGTACCGTTTTCCACTATCCACCACTCAGGTCTCAGGCCCTTAACAGACCCTCCCTCCCTTCACTAGAGGTTTCTGTGGGGGTTGAGGAGAGGGGAATTAATTCCTGTTTCACTTCCCTCAAGGATACAAAGTGTGAAATCCAGAGGGTCCTTCTCTTGTTCACAGTGTACTCATAGGGGGCTGACAGTACCAGGGAGGATCAGCCCAACAGGCAAAAATAGCCTTTTCTGTTTATAACCAGGTCAGCTTCACAGAACAAAAGCCTGGACTCCGGGCAGCAAGACCCTGTAGTCACAGTGGGCAGGAGGTGGCCTATTAGGGAAAAGACATGATCCTCCCCAACAAGGTCTGTACCTGTCCTGAAACAATAAGACACTCAGCGGGGCCAAGAGATGAAGTTCTTGTTTATTGTTGCAGCAACTCTTATACAGACATTAGCGTTCAGTTAAATAAAGGAGATAGCACATTAAATACATCACAACCCCAAACCAGACAACTGCGGCCACGGTACAGAGAAGGGGAGGGAGGGCCAGGACCGGTGACCAGACTGTCAAGAGGAAATACATTCAGTGGGTGTGCGGTGTCAACATTCCAGGCTCACGTGTAGATATATTTTATTTATATATTTATTTATATTTATATATAGAGATCATTGAGTTTTGTGTATACAAAGAACGATATTGTTACAAATACAATACTTCTCCCCACGCTTTACAGTAAGCTCTATGCACCCTCTTTACTGAACGGGAGTACAAGTTCATACTCTAGGTGCTGTGCTAAGTATGTACAAGAGATTTCATTCCCACACAGTCCTCACACACTGCCTTGATGGAGGGGGGAATAAAATCAAGGGTTGAGTGCTCAAGTGGACTCCAGCAGGGAAGGAGCTGACGGAGGTGAAACTAACCAACAAGTAGCCTGGTGAAGGTGAGAGTTGATACATCAGGACGAGGCGGCCCTTGGTTGTAAACATTGGTAATGGCCACACCACTGGGTGGAGAGACCCAGGAAGGGCTCTGCAGGTGGGTGGGTTTTCATTAGCTTGCCACAGGGAGCGTTGGGTGTGGTGGGGGTGTAGAGGGAGGAGGAGCAATGGGGGAGGTAGTAGGTTACTCTGGACTCCCTGAAGGCCAGTGTTGATGGGCAATGTTCAGAAAGCAAGCCTGTGCACAGGGACAAGGTGCCCTGGGATGTGCTCTACCCCTGCTGAGCGCACTCTGGAGAGGGAGGAGGGGATCCCCTGGGAAACGGGCTTCAGGCATTGGTTTGGGGGGTTTCTTCCTCTCATGACCCAAGGCTGATGGTGGGTGGCTCCCTGAAAAGTCCCCATTGGAGAAGGCAGAGGCAGGGTGGATTTTGGTGCATCCTGGGAAGACCAGGAGGAACAGGTGAATCTGGGAGCCCGTCCCCAAAGCTGAATCACTAGCCTGTCCCAGCACAGTGGCCAGAGTGGCTAGGGTAATTTTGTGCCTTGCATTTTGGGGACAGGCTGCTCTGCACGTACATCATCCCTGCTATGTGGGTGCTGAGATATTTACACATGTAACTACACACATATGGGATGTCAGAAGGGAAAGAGACCACCACCTCTTTTGGGACTTTCGGACACAGAGTGACTAACACTTGAGATCCCATTTCTGAGGTTAACCACAGGTAGGCTGATGTTAGCAGAGGAAGAACACATTTCAGCGAGGCGGGCCTGTACCAAGCTCCAACAGCTTCCACTCGGGTGTGAGGAACCACATTGATTAGCACAACAGAAAGTGATGCAGACATACTCTTACTCTTATGCTAAAATACGTGAGTCCTCTAGAAGAGCTTACAAATTGGCTTTTCAGCACCTCTTGAAGTTTCCAACATTTTTTGTGCAATAGGAATAGAAAGTATTTTCTCTTTCTCTCTCCTTAGGATGAAGATACTTCACTGTAATTACTTAGGGGTTGGGCAGGGATGTGCTCCTGGAGTTCCCATCCCGGGCCAATTGCAGGCAGGTCTCTCTGGTCCTATCTAGGAGCTTGGGCAGGTGCCCCAAGGGGCCACCCTGGGGACAGACTGGCAAGAGCCCTTCCAATGATTTTCCAAGGCTTCTGCTGTATGAAATGTTGATAATGCTTCATTCTTGTTCTACCCACTGTCTCTTCTGGCATGGCAGAGATGGACTGCTGACTCTTTAGTATTTAATTATAATACTAGACTCTCTGAAATTTGATTATTTTAGGAAAGGCAAATAGAATTAGGACTGGGGTTCCTGATCCTCACGTTTATGGTGGTTGACCTTGGGCTTGTCACCTGGCAGCATTCTGTTAAGTATCCTTTAAACAAGTCCAGGGTCCTAGATCACCCATCCTGGCTCCCATGGCCCCACCCAGCCAGTGCCCCACAGCAGTAGCAGCTCCTGCCTATATAGGACTTGGGGGCAGCCGGTGGCCACCCTTCATTGGGGCTTTTTTATTACAGTAAAACAGAGACTTCAGCTGCTGACTTCTTTCAAACATTTGGATTTTCTGATTTTTAATTCAGAAAACTCAAAGTCCAGGAAGTCCAGGAGGTTGGATGACATTGTTCTCTGGCTGAAGTCTCATATTTCTAAACTTGTTATGATCACTTTTCTCCCTTAAATCCCTCTGTTCTCTAGATAAATACATCCTACCTAACATTTGATCTCTGAATTCCTATTTCCACAGACACAACATAAATATCCCAGATGCAGAGAACAGGGGTTATATTAATATTACAAAATATATTAGTTTTTCTTCCCCTGTCTCTACTGAGGTCATGAATGAAACAAAACGAAAACAAAACCAAGTCACACCCCACATGAAAAAAAAGAAAGAAAAAAGCTCTTTGGACCAAGAATAAGTGAAAACTGGCTCAGAATAATATTACTAAAACATCCACACTGAACTGAGACAGAATCCAGAAGTGTGGGGCACCTGATGCAAACACGACATTCCACACCAGCTGAAAGCTCCCTCAGACCCACCAGGCAGGGAGATATTTCCAGAACACATTTGGGGATTCTTAGGCATAATCTGAGGTCATTACTGACCCCTTAATTTTGTGGTTTATGGGCTATTCTGGCCTTTCAGGTATCACATCCTGCCTGGTGGTCCTGATGACTAGGAGGTTGGTCTCACCTGGGGCCCAGAAACATGCCATCACTCTCTTCTAGGAGGATAGTACAGCCTTCCCAGCCTCCCTTCCCTGCCTCCTTTCCCTACCTCCCTTCCCCGCCCCCATGTGTACAGGGGTGGGGGAGTCCGAGAAGACACTTTCAGTCAAGTGGTATCAGGAGGGCCAGGCCTCAGCCAGAGACGGCATCTCTCTCAGGACAAGGCTGATTGGACTCTGCATGCCTGACCCCTGCCAGGGCAAGGGGTCTCCCAGAGAGGGGCTGTGGGTTTCCAGGGGCTCTGTGTGCCAGATTTTTAGCTTGCCTTCCTGGTGGTAGAGAGCAGGGCAGGGCAATATGCATGTGAGATACTGTGAGAGCGTGTGTGTGTAATATACGGAGAGGCAGATGGCACCTGCCTGCATTATCTACTGACCAGTGACTTCAGGGCACCTGGCAGAGCTTCAATTGCCTGGTGAATTGCCGCGCTCTGCAGTGCCAGGGCAGCCTATCCAAGGCTGTCACTTCTCCCTTTATCCTTATGTGAGGAGGCCTGTATTAGACCACATGTATATGTAGAAACTAAAACTACCTATGAAAGAGGTTGCAGGTTGGCTCAGAAATTCTGGGTGGAGATAACATAGGGGGCCCCAACTGCATGGTGGACAGTGCATACCTTTGATGTGGGATGGTCCCTGTTCCTGCCTCATTCCTGTCAAGAGATAGGAAGAGAGCAGAGATCAGCAACTGAGTTTTAGGCACTGCTGAGGGAGCATCTGCACTGCCCCTGGGAGTTCCTTCTAAGCAGTCTGTGCCTCTTGGGGTAGGATGATCCCCCTTGGGCAGTGAGAGCCACCTTGGGACCCTTGAAGGTCCTATAAGATGGCCCTGGGCATATCCCTGATGGACGAGGGCTGTTATTTATCCTCAAGGGAGCACATACAAAACTTTCCTGATTTTAAGGGGGGGGGAAGCAAACTGGAGAGAGAGAGAGCAAAGAGGTCCTTGCGGATTCTTCTCTTCCTGTGTAAGACCAAATGCTGGGCACGAGAGGAAAATGTCTCAGCGGACACATGGATGCAGCACAGAAACACAACCACGATGAGGAGAGTCCTCCATGCAAGCCTCGGCGAGGGCGAGCCAGGCACGCTCAGATGTAAACGGGCTGCTCCTGGGCCGTCAGCAGTCTGTACATGGCCGCTGGCATCGTCTTCATGTGGATCTGAAGGCAGAAACGCATGTGAGCATGGAGCGGAGGGGAGAGACGAAGCCTCCTCCAGGGAGGGGCTTCCAGGGTACCCACCCCAACAGGGACCGGACCCAGAGTGGCCCAGGAAGAACAGAACCCACAGGCTTTCTGTAATGCTCAGGGGTGATGTGAAGTTAACAAAGGAAACCAGAGAAGGCTTATTTTCCCAGTCCAATATTTTCATTCTGATCAGTCCTTGGCAAGACAGAGAACCTTTCAAATGGAAGGAAAGTGATTCGGCTTCACGGCTCCTGTCTCCTTTCCACCCTTGGCATTAAGAAAGCAACAGCCAATTAGCCTTGGACCCGCAGCCAGGGCTTCAGGAGAGCCACTGTGTGGGTGCAGCTTGACTCTAAGGGTTAGGTCTGCCAAGCACATTTGCAGAGAATAATGGGGGAAAATGGAGAAAACTTGGGAAGCCACCAACAGGAAAACTGCCACTCTGTGTGTGGAAGAGAAGGTGATTGGTGACTTGACTTCATGTTGTGGGGGAGCCCTCAGACAACCTCTTCGACAATGGGTTCAACTTTAGGTCTAAGATGGTTCCAGGTATTGAGGGGAAGGGACATATAGGAAGGTCCCTGGAAGGACTATGGGGATCAGGGTCAGCAGGATGCAAGGGGTACCAGATGGCTCCCTCAGCCCCTTCCCCAGCCCGAGCCTCCCTCCTACCTCCCCAACAGCATTGGAGAGGATGTGGACTATCTTCTCGTGCGGGGTGGCCACAACGCTCTGTCCGTTGATTTCAATGATCCGATGTCCCACGCGGACGCCTCCCCTCTCAGCTATTCCCCCTCGCATGAGGCTGCAGATCTACCAGAGCCAAACACCAGGTTACTCCTTGTGGGCAGCATCATGTCTCAGATCTCCATGGGGTCAAAAGACTCTCTTCCCTGGGACCCTTATCCCCCAGCATGCACATCTCTGAGAAGCAGATGTAGCTAGGCTGAGGGTATTTAAATCTCTTAGAATATTTTCACAGGAAATAGGTTCTGTAGGTTGACATGGCCACCTTGTTCATGTAGTTTGCTGGATTTCATGACAAGCTGAATCTAAGAATTAAGTCTTCCAAGCATATTTGGTGGGATTGATTGGGAAAAAGTTAATCCTCTGGGCCTAGGTGACAAGAGCCTGCCTGGGCCTGTCACCTGGGTGCTAGTGTTTCAGACTGTCAGCCTGTGTAGCACAGGTTAGCATTTCCAGAGTCACAAGTGGGCTCAAACATGGAACTGTTTAAAGTTAGCAGCCTGTTTTATAGGGTCAACTGCATGAGCCACTCCACTTTGTATTCCAAAGTATGGCCAGTTGTAGTGGGGAGGCACCTTTCTGCTTTCCAAGCTCTGCAACCATGTTCAAACTTGGTATTGTGCAACCAGGCAGTGGATAGAGGCTCCTGGTTGCTGGCAAATGAGGTTTCTAGAGCTACAGGGTGTAGCTGTCCCTCCCTCCCTCTCACACTAAGCAACCCATTGTTAATATCTGAGCAACCTTTCTTTTTTTTGTGGTGCTGGGAAATTCAACCCTGGGGTCTTGCACATGCTACACAAATGCTGTACCCCTAAGCTACATCCCCAGTGCCAGCTTTTAACATTACTCAAATATGAACAAAGCAAACAAGCATAAACAGGTAAAGGGATGACATCAGACCAAACCTCTGAGGAGTAACCCTGGTTCCTCTAACAGGCAAGCCAGGCTACTGAGATACAGAGACCACAGGAAACAGGGCTGGAAATTTCAACTCCAATTGGGAATTTCAAGGTTATTTCTAAACCTTACAACATACTTGGAATGAAATTTTAATTACTGAAGGACTCTTAATTGAAAGTTAAGGGGAGCGTGTAAAAAGAACAGGGTCCTTATGTTGAGAAAGATAAATCCAAAGAGAGGGCAGTTCCATCCAAAACCCATGAAGGCAAGGTTACAGATGGAGACCATTGCCACCACAGCCCGGAGTTACTGTGAATACAGAACAAGGCAAACCAGGGCATAAAGGAGTATTATTGAGGACAGTTTGTTTGGGATGAAGGAAGGGATACAGCTAGTTGGCAACGGCTGTAAAACACTGTGAATGTATTTACTGCCACTTAAATTGTTAGCTGTAAATTTTTGATCATATATATTTTACCACAATAAAAAAAGAAAACATAAGGAAGTACTATTTAAGGCAGACAGTCAAGTGATTAAAAATACTCCATTCCTAAAGCTAATTCAGGCTAAAACGGTGACTGGGCTAAGCACAGATCAATCCTGCACAACAGCCCTGGGCAGGGATTTTGGCCTGGGGTGCACCCTGGACCCCTGGGGAGCTTGAAGCTGAGTGAGCAGCTCTCTCTGCCCTGTCCTTGGGAGTGCGGCAGTTCAGCAGGGGCTCTGAGTACAGCCAGGAAGATAGCTGCAATCCCAGGGAGGAGGCAGCCCTTGGCGGGGACATCCCAGCTACCAGGGGAGCAGCTGGAGGGCCTCTTTGCCAAACTCTGCTCCAGGGCCTGTCTCTTCCCACGTAGAATGGCACAGAATTCTCTGCTCAAAGGAAATCTACCCAAAGAAGGAGCTGAGTGGGTCTTTATCCATTTATCTCCTTCCCTTAGGGATGCTTTTGGGGAATGGACTAGCTGGGGGGAAAAAATAAAACAAGAAACAAAAACAGAACATGGCTATGTTTTTGTCAACATTTGGAAAAGTGTGTGAAGCGAGTTGCACTTACAATTCCGTTCTGGACGCTGAAACCCAGCTGGTAGCGAAGGTCTGGTCTTCTGATTAATACCGTGGTCACTGGAGGGCACCTCACGATATTCAGCTTGACTCGGGACTGATTCTTTAAGCCCTTAAACAAGAATAGTATACAGTGGATATGGTGACCCCTGAGGCAGGCAGAACAAATAAGAGCAAACAGCATCCAAGGTCGAAGCCGCTCTAGGACGCCTGGGAGTGCGTGCTCCAGTCCTGTGCTCTGGAGGCCTTATCACCCCAGGGGAGGAAACAGTAGGGCTCAAATGGAGCTCTTTCAACCCAGGCAGAGATCAGAGTCAAGTGGGCAGAATCTTCATTTTGGGAAATGGACTGTGTTCAAGGACCCGATGGAAGTGCAACTATGAGAAAAAATGTTACATGGGCTTTCTGGCTTGAAAGATGAAGGATGCACCCTCTGTCTGGTCAGGAGAGAGAGGAGTGGGAAATGGAGTCCCAAGCTCGAGCAGTGACTCCTAACAAAGGACGTCTCATTCATAGCAGGTGCATGGGGACTGTTTTCTCTCCTTTCCCCATCCTCTCAGCTGTTGGAGATTTTTATGGTTTATGGACATTCCCACAGCAATTGGGGCTGCCATTGGTCACCATCTCCTGGGGAGGGCTTTAGGGTGGGTGCTGAGGGAGATGAGAGGAGGAAAGACACAAAGGTCAGGGTTTCATGACCCTAGACCACAGAGCCCTTCCTCTGTTAGAATGGAACGTGGAAGGAAAGCTAGTCTTTGAGGAGGAAAAGGAAACGGGTCTCAATCTGAGTGGAGCTTCCTCCACCCCACTGTGGTTTAAGGTGAGCTCAGGCTAGACTCTGTCACACTCAGAGCTGTGACAGGCACTCTCCCCTCTGCAGGAGCATCTGCTTTAGACCACCAGCACAGAGCTCCAAGTGCCTCCCTCAGGCCCAACCACCCACTTGTCAGCTTCATCCAAGAGAAAGGTGCCAGGCAGATATAATCAACCCTAAAATTATGCCCACCTTTCAGCTCTGCCTGGTTTAAACCTGCCTCACCCAACTCCTGCTTGCTCACCTGTGCATAGATAGGGTGGCCCAAAGCAGGAGCTCCCCAGTATGTTTTAAGTTCTAGTGCACAGAGAAAATTTTTTGCACTTTGGGGTAAACAGAAAACACTGTTGTGGTTGGAGGCCCTGCTGTTCCCCCACCCCCAAGCTTCAGAGCAGAGGTAGGGGAGGTCTGAGCTGGGAGTGGGAAGCTCCTGCTGGACCTGACCCCAGCTTGAGTTGATTAGGAAGCCACTCAAGGTCAGGCACAGTCCCTCTTCTCCAAAGGGCCAGGGTTGAAGGGGAGAAGTGGCTCCTAACAGGCAGTACTTGGGGTGGGTGGGAACCTCTGCACCAGGCAGAGCTAGGGATTCAGGGACAAGGCTGGCTTTACCCATGCCCATGGTGCCCATTAGAGACAGTTCCCCATCAGTTCACAAGGGGACCAGCTTGTTCACTCCACAGGTGAGGTGCAAGGATCAGTCTGGGGAGAAGGATGACATAATCCATGAAATTTCTATAGACAGGGACCATTTGCCTTGCATCCTGTAAATGGAAATATGCAAATTTCATGGCTGCTACGAACATTTTTCTGTGGGAGGTCAAAACTCATATTCATATTTTGTAGATGAGAATGGACACATGGACACGAAGGGCTACTCCAAGGGCTCCATGAGGTCAGGACCAGAACTGCAGATCCCTGCTCGGGCTTCTACCTACCTCACAAACACCTTCCAGCCAGGAGGTGAAAGTGGGGTTAGGAGAACTTCAGCCCAGGCAGAATGGTGGCAAGGGTGTGACTTGCTACTCCTATACCAGAAGAGAGCCACACATGTTTTGCTTTAGGTCAGTGGGTAGTTAGGGGATCTTGTGCCACTGGTCATCTGGCTTTCTATATCTGACTGACAAGGATATAACCAGTGGATCTCCAGGCCCATGCTAACAGCATCAGTGACACTTGGCCATGTGTTAGGATTTGGGGCTCCACTCCAGACCTACTGAATCAGACTTTGCATTAACAAGACCTCCCATACCTCTGCTCTGGAAGATTGGAGGTGGGGGGACAGCAGGGCCTCCAACTACAGCAGTGTTTTCTGTTCACCCCAAAGTATACATTTAATCTTAAGAACTGGTGTAGACCACGGCAAACACTGGCCTCAATTGTGCCCACGAGACTTAATTTCTTTAAGAGGTGATTAGACTCAAAGATGTCAATTTAGGCTTCATACCTGAGGTCTATATGCTCCATAGAAGCAGGTACTAGCAAGGTTGGGGAAAGGTGGATGTCTGTTCAGCCTGGTCCCTGGGTAGCCATCTCTGGTGTTGAACCAGGTGTGAGCACCCCCTGGATCCTGCTGCACCAAACCCCAGCCCAGTAGTGGAAGCAGCTGAGCCATATCAATACCAACCACCTGTCACTGAGCACTAGTTCTTGCCCAGAAATACCTGGAGAGTCACAGGAATTGCCTTATTTAATCTCCCTTTCTGTCTGGCAGCTATCTCAGTTTTATAGAAGAGGAACTTGAGGCTCAGAGATACTAAGTGACTCACCCAAGTTCACACACAGCCAACTTTAACCCAGGTCTGCTTTCAGAACCCAAAGTACTTTCTCCTACATATAAAACTGGAGAGTGTCCTTCATGATTAAGCCTTGCTCAACCATGTAGCCAAGGATAGCAAAAGAAGGAAAAAACCCTATGCCCTCAAATCTTATTCCAGTCTTGAATTAGGGCTGTATTTTTAGGTCACTTTCCAAGTTATTCTGGGCTCATGGTCCTCATAGTCCTTCCCCTGGATTTCCTGTGCCTTTTAAGTGACACCAAGATGGTTCCCTCAATGTATGAATGGGACTCTGTTTCCTCATCTTCAGCTTCTGTTCCCTCAGTGCTCTGAATTGCTGTATCCAGGGGGACATGAGCCTTCCAATGAGTGCCCTTCAGCTTGTGGTGTCCCTGTACCATGTGACTTGGTGTTCATATGCATGCTGTTGTCATCAGTGTGTCCTGGGGGTTTGGGAACATTTTAGGGAAATACACTGGTTAAGAAAATGGTATTTTCAAAGTGGAGCAATGGAATAAGCCAAGAGTGGTTTTCTCAGGTGGAAAAGACTGCAAAGGATCCGGGTTTTCTGCAAGACAACAGTCCCATCATCCACATCCATGAGGGGCATGGAAGTTGTCTGTTTGCTCCTAGTGGATGGGTGGGCCAGGTGAGGAGGACTGTGGTGGTTTCAGGCCTGGGTTCCAGCTGTGCTCTGCCACCAACAGCGGGATCTTGGGTGCGGTGCTCTATCTTTCTGCTGCCTCAGTTTCCTAATTTTCCCAACAAATGGTGAAGCTCACAGAAGGTTCTGCCACTTTCAGTGTCTATGCCTTCACCCCTTTTCCTGTGTGGTTTTCTAAATGCCCCAGGCTGCAACAAAAAATCTCAACCCTTATAATTAAAAACAATCTATTCTCTCACATTAAAATTAGGTTTCTTCTTCAGGGAATTAGGTCTTTTCTTCTTTGGGGCCGGGTATGGTGAAGGGCGGCTTAATGTCATTCATGCATGTATCTCACTGACCACTGACTTAGAAAGTGGCCCATAATTTTTTTTTTATGTGCCAAGAAATGTGTTAGGTCCTGGGTAGAATAAGCCATCTCTGGGCCTCCTGGAGATCAGGAAAGGGGCAAGAAACGAGAGGTAAGAAGGCTAAGACGGGAGCCTATTAGAATCATAACCTCAGATAAGCATCGGCCTTAAATGTTTACACTGGGATTAATGAGGATTAAATAAATAAACTGGGATTAAATATTAACCACTGGAATTATTTAGGTGTGCTTGTGTGATACAGAAAACTACAGAACATACTGAAAAGCAGGAGAGTGATCCTATTTTCTTAATGTTACAAAAAAAAAAATTCACATTCCTCTGGTGAGTTCTTTCCTTTTATGTGAATTGATTTAAGATGCCTGCTCAGTCCCTCAGTGAAAGAATTTCAAGATTGGGGAAAATGTGCTGCAAGATGAGGCTTAGAGAAATGGCAATTTGAAATAACCAGACCATGCCTTTGCTCTGCTATTCCTAATCAATGTTTCAAGTTGGGTCCCATTAACTTAGATTTCTGAGCTGCCATTTTATTGGAGGTGCCAATTAAATAAACGGTCATTTCATCCCCATGACAACAGTGGAATGGTGCAGTAAATTAAGAAATAGGGTGGGAGAGGAAGGGCAGGGAGGAGGGGAGGAAAGAGAAGCCAGAATGGTTTCTATAGCAACAGGAGAGCAGAACCATGATCCTATAGAAGGAAAGGGAAACGGTGCTCTAGTTTCAAAAAGAACAAAAATCCAGAGGGCAATAGCATGAGCAGAGAAGATGCTAGCCTGCTTCACCTACCAATAATTATGCTTCAGGAATGAATTATAACAGAGAAATAAGAGCCAGGAAAACAGATAGTTTGATATCTGTAACTCCACTCTAGAAATCTATTCTTTCTGTGTCTGGGGGCAGAGGAGGTCAACACACTGCTTTAAACTCCTCTTCCTCAAAGTGTGGTCTGAAGGTAGGCGATATGACCATCCCTGGGAGCTTGTGAAAAAGGCAGAACCCCACTTGAGACCTACCAAATCAAAACTTGCATTTTAACCAGCTTGCTGTGCGACCCACATTAGTTTGAGAAGCACTGGAGTTGCAGCTGCAGAGGGCACCGAGACCTACTGAAATGGGATCACCAAGCACCAAAAGCCCAGATAGTGCCCTGCAGTGGCAATGAAGGGTGGTGAGGGCAGTGCCTTCAGCTGTCAAGGTGCAGGCAAGAAGCGGGTGCTGTCTAGGGAACTAATAAAATAGTAATAAACCCACTTGAAGTCAGTCTGTGTGGTACTGGCAATTCTAGCTGTTATCAGTGATTAGCATTTCCCCCCAGCCGGGCGAGGCCACAGATGGGCCATCTCATTTTCCCATTCAACAAGGTTGTGTGTTCTGGGGCACTGTGCAAGCTCCGTGGAGTCTAACTGGGGCTTCCTGCCCAGTGCTTCTTTGCTGAGCAGAGCCACAAGGCAGCGGTTTTCTTACTCTCCATCTCCAGCAGCTACATCTCTTTCATCGTTGCATGGTCTTTTAATTTTCTGAATCCATGGAGACTCCACTTACAGACATTTAAGTTCAGCTACTCAAACAAACCCTCCCCCCAGGAAGCTGCTTGGGTAGCTGTATTCCCAGAAGCTTCCCTTTCACCTTGCTGCAGGGATCTGTATGACAGAAGCGGAGTCTCCAGGTGGCAGCAGAGGTGCCAAGTCTCACAAGCCCCTCATACAGTCTGTGTCCTTTGGAGACTGGCAGGGAGGGTTAGGACTCACTGGCCATTTGGTGGGCCCTGGGCAAGTGTCTGTGCCTTCGGGGTCTCAGATGACTCATGTGAACCAGGTGTCAGCCATCATCCTTGTGGGCGGTCCTAAGAGGGCCCTCTGCCTGTTGCTGATTCTCCTCATATCCTCAACTGGATAAAGAAAGCCAAAGAGCTCTCTGGGGCCCTTTTCATAAGGAAAATGATCCCTTTTTAAAGATCCCTTTCTCAAGGGTTCTACCCTTATGACCTAGTTACCTCCTAAAGGGCATACCTTCTAAGGCCATAACATGGAGATTAGGGCTTCAACAAATGCACTTCATGGGACATATGTAGTCTAGAATATCCCTTTCTTCTTGCCCCTCCTTAAACCTTTCCAGACATAAAGTTATTCTTTTTTTCTTCATTTAAAAAAATTTTTTTAAATTGTAGATGGACACAACACCTTTATTTTATTTGTTTATTTTTACGTAGTGCTGGGGATCGAACCCAGTGCCACACACATGCTAGGGAAGCACTCTACCACTGAGCCACAACCCAGTCCCCTGCGGGATTGTCCTGAGAATTTCAGTGTTTGGCAGCATCTCTAGTCTCTACCGACTGGATGCCTGTAGCACCTTCCTCCCCCTTATGACAACTGAGACTGTCTCCAGGCCTTCTGAGGTGTGCAACATCATCCTTGGCTGAGGGTCTTGGATCTAGCACTTGAACAAACTACTGGAAAGAGGCTATCCAGTGGCTAAGTGACCATGTTCCATAATGACCATGTGGTCACCTTTCTGTGCCTCAGTTTCCTAACTTGTCCAATGGGTTAAACAAACGTACCTGCCCCACAGAAGGCTGTTGTGAGAGTTCAGTGCATTAATCCATGCACACTCTTTACAACAACAGCACACAACACTTGATCACTGGGGCCTTCAGTCCTGTCATTTCTCCCTGCTAGACCAAGTCCCCAGGTGGAGATTTTGTCTGTGGTGTCTTTGGGTCTCATAGTCCCTTGTGATTCTTGTACATGCAAACAAGGTGTTTAATAAGAAACTTATTCATGGGGAAGAGGGAGATATCAATGTGGATTGATGCTGCCTTCCTAACCCTGGCCACCTGCTGCTTTTCCATGTTACCATGGTAACACCAGATCAGTTCTCACAGGCCAGACTCATGCCTCACCCCCTGATTCTAGCCCACTTTGGAAACAGGGACTTCCAAAGGTCACGGTTCCCTTTTGCTAACAACTTAGGTTTTACTCCCTCAAAGTGAATTTAACTATTGTTGTATAAAATTTTCCCTCCTCTAAATGCTGGCAAATCTTTTACCTCTATGTTGCTAGGATCACTGAAATTATCCTCCACATACATATTGCCATCTAGTATCTTCATTGCTCAGCTCAGCACCTACTAGAGGCCCAATGAAACATGTCTGAATATTCATGTTCAGAGAAGAGTCTCTAATCTTAATCTTTAATGTCTAATCATGTGCCACATAATGATGTTTTAGTCAATCACAGACTGCGTATATCATGATAGCCCCAAAAGATTATAAAGGAGATGAAAAATTCCTGTTGCCTAATGATATGGTGTCTGTCCTAAGGTTGTAGCACAACTCATTCCTGATGTGTTTGGAGATGCTGGTGTAAACACGCCTACATCAGGGCCAGTCATGTACAAATACAGCATACACTTATGTACAGTAATAATGCCTGATCAATGACTGCAGTACTGGTTCATGCATTTACTATGCTATACTTTTGTCACTGGAGTATACTTACTTAAAAAAACAAGGTTTATTGTAAAACAGTATGGTATGTGATGCCAATAGCGGCCTCAGAGTTGGTGATTACCACAGCTCTTGTTTGCATCAAGAGGCCAGATCTAGAGATTGGGGCTGTAGGTCAGTGGCAGAGTGCTTGCCTAGCATATGTGAAGCATTGGGTTTGATCCTCAGTACCACGTAAAAATAAATAAAATAAAGGCATTCTGTCCATCCATAATTACAAAAAAAAATTAAAAAATAAATAAATAAAATAAAGGTTAAAAAAAGGTTACATCTAGCGACTGACCTGGGTTTGTGTAGGTATTCTATGATGTTTGCAAAATGACAAAATTGCCTAATGATGCATTTTTCAGAATTTATCCCTATGATTAAAGGATACAGGGCTATACATTAAAGAAGAGGCAGAATTTATTCATTAAAAGTAGCAAAGTAGCACTGGGGCTGCGTTGTGGCTCAGTTGTAAAGCATTCACCTAGCACGCGTGAGATACTGAGTTCCATCATCAGCACCACATCAAAATAAATAAATATAGGGCAGGGGTTGTGGCTCAGTGGTAGAGTGCTCGCCTAGCACATGTGAGGCGCTGGGTTCGATCCTCAGCACCACATAAAAATAAATAAATAAAATAAAGGTATTGTGCCCAACTACAACTAAAAAAGAAATATTTTAAATAAATAAATAAATAAAATAAACGTAATGTATAAAGGTATTGTGCTCCTCTACAAAAAAAAAAAAAAAAAAAAAAAAAAGCAAAAGCACTGACCCTGGTGGTAAACACTCAACTGCACCCTCTACTCGCACCCCCACCCTCTTAGATGAGGATGTTGGCTTTTGTGTTCTGTTTTTACGCTCAGAAGGACGATTGTAATGACTGCATTAATTCATCCCCTAGAGCTATGTTCTAGCTAATGGTACAGAACTATTTGGGGTTCATAGGAGGAATACTTCCTGTCATGCTGGCCATGCGATCAGCAAGTATCAGTGTTGAAGACTACACATGGATGCTTCATTGTTAAGAAGAAAATCTAATTTCTTTTCCTTAAGTATTCACATTTAATTTTCACTTAAGTAGCTCTTCTTAGCTTTATGTAACGGTATAAGTTCAGGTTGAATGAGAAGTCATTATGTTCATGTATGAAGAGGACTCCATGGACTATAACAGTTTCCTCCTTACGGCAATTAGCCATTAGGCTCTGGGAAAGACACTTGCCTGTGTCAGTGGCTTCAGGTTTGAAGCATTTCTAGGGTCTTCTTTTTTCTTTCTGTGGCAATGGGGGTTGAACCTGGGGGTGCTCTACCACTGAGCTTAATCTCTAGCCCTTTCTGTTTTTATTTATTTTTTATTTTTATTTTATTTTTTTATTATGAGACAGTGTATTGCTAAGTTACACAGGCTAGTCTTGAACTTAAGATCCTCCCACCACAGCCTCCCAAGTGGCTCTGGGACTGTAGGTGTGTGCCACCATGCCTGGTTTATCATTCCCATAATTCTTAACAGAGTTGGTAAATCATCTCAAGTACATCTGACTTCACTCTAAGGGACTGTCTGGATTATTGAGCTGAGGCTGCTGAGGCTGAGTCTAGGCATACTGAGAGAGGGTTGTGATTGATTAGTGATGCCTGCAGTGGCTGTTAGTGAGCCAAATATACTATCCCTGATCTAAAAATGACTTGTAAATAGGAGGAGCTTATAAATACTAAATAATGAGATGCCTGAGAACAAGCATATTATATATATAATTTTGTTTTTAGACCTTTTATTTTTATTTATATGTAGTGCAGAGAATCAAACCCAGTGCCTCGCACAGGCCTGGCAAGTGCACTACTGCTGAGCCCCAGCCCCAGCCCCGAGCACAAGCCTTTTTTGTATGTGCCTTCCTTGGTGCCTGACACTTAGAATACATTTGTAAATGTTAATGATTAGACAGCAGTTACACTTCATGTCATTTTGGGTTGATTAACAGAAAAGATTTTTCCCAGGTCTGGGTACCTTGATAATGCTCTGGCAGGTGGACAGAGGCAGGCCCACCAGGCTGGTGCCATTAATGGACATAATCTGGTCCCCAATGTTCAGCTTCCCCGACTTCTCTGCGGGGCCTCCATGCATCATGTTGGCTATGATCACGGTTGGTAGGATGGATCCCCAGCCAGACTCCACAATCACAACTCCTAGGATTTCTCCTTTCTGCTTCTCTATGAAAACCTGACAGGAGAAAAACACAGAGAAATCCTGAATCATTAACCATGGGAGGTAGTGGTAGAAGTGAAAGCCACTCCACTTCTTGCCTAAAGACAGACCCTAATAAACACACCCACACTCCCTCATGACCTCAGCCCAGGTGAGCTCCTGTCTTCTCTGCATCTCATCACATCCAGAGTCCTTAAGAAACAATTTCACATAGGCCAGTGCTGTTTTTTGTAATTCATACTTGTTCCATATTAGCAATCTGATCTCAGCACAAAACCACAGGGCACTAGATTTTTTTTTTCCCTCCTGATACTGGGTATTGAACCCAGGGATGCTGTACCACTGACTGCATCCCTAGCCCTTTTTATTTTATTTTGATACAGGGTCTTGTTAAATTGTCTAGGCTAATTTGGAATCCTCCTGCCTCAGCCTCCTGAGTTGCCTGGGTTATAGGCATGCACTGACACACTTGGCCTGTCCAACATTTTTTTCAATGTTGTCTCTACTGGCAGGGGAGGAAAGTTGGTCAGTAGGAGCTCTGGTGGCCTATTATGGCTTCTAGAAATGGCTTTTGAATTCTAAGCACAGGTTATCCCATTCCACAATATGTCATAAGTTCTCTCCAACATTTAAGATTCCTGAGTTAAAAATAAATATTCAGAAAAACTTCTCTGCAAGGAGAAAGTTAAAGAAAAAGGAAAAAACTGATGTGGGAGTCATCATAGTTGCAAGCTCAGGAGTGCACACAGAAGAGCATGTCCTGGGCAGGCATAATGTTCTCCTGACCTCTGTGGCAGCAGAGCAGGCAGGAGTTAGAGCTGCACACCTGCAGGATGGGGAGGTTTTCAGAGATGCTGAGAAAAAGTGAGGTGCTTCTTGAAAGCAGCCTGCAGAGTGTGGGTGTGTTTATTAGGGTCTGGAGAGGTCTTCTCTAAGCCGGCACCCTCCCCACTACTGCTGACGCTCACAGTTGGCCCTTTCCCTGAGAACTGCCCTTGGCCAGAAGGGAGACATTCCATCCCCATTATGGGGTGACCTGTTTCCCATTGCCCAAATTCCTATGTTGCTGTCTAATCTCCAGAATCCCCAGGGCATCAAAATGGAGGCAGGGTCTCTACAGAGGGAATGGGGTTAAAGTGTGGTGATTTGGATGGGCTCTAATCCAGTATGACTGGTGTCTTCTTCAGAGGAAATTTGGACACAGACTGTATGGGGAAGATGTGGTGAAGGCACAAGGAAGAGATGGTCATTTATAAGCCAAGGAAAGAGGCCTGGGACAGATCCTTCCTGAGGCCCACAGAAGGAACCAACCCTATCAACACCTCAATCTTGCCCTTTCAGCCTCCAGACCTGAGAAGAGGACACACGTCTTTTGCAGAAGGCACCCAGTCTGTGGGACTTTGCTACAGAAGCATTAACAAACTTTTATATCTCTTGCTCAACCTTGGCCAATGAGCAATAGAGGTCATTTGCTCTAAGGTGGGATAAGTCTGTCCTGTATTCTGTGTCTCAGAGCTTCCCTCAGATTACAAAGAAACTTATGCCAGTGAGACCACACTCTTCCTAGTGCCCCACATCCTGCTCCCACATTCTACTCTTCTGAGTGGAGGTTTGCAATAAACTTGCTGAACAACAATCCTCACCTGAGAATCTGCTTCCAGGGAGCCTTACCTGAGATCCCTCATACATTAATGGATTAGAAGATAACTTTCTCATTAAAGCTGCTTGACATTTATGGGATAAAGTCTGAAAGCTTCAGCTGGAATTGCAAGCCCTTCAGTCTGACCTGGACCTTATTTTGGTCTGACCCTCTCTTTCTGGGTCCACCCTCTGTTCAAGCCAAGCCTTTCTGATTCCCTAGACGCATCTGCAGCTTTCTGACATTCTATTTTCCTGTTACTTCAGTTCTGTTTGCTCCTACGTGTTCCAAATAACCTCCAGACCAGCTCAGATGGTTCTGTCTACCTCCAGTTACTCCTGGGGCGCTTAGTCTGAAGCAGTGGGGTGCACAGCATCTGTCAGCTGAACCTGCAGTCTGTTCTGTTCTGCCAAATGCAGTGGGCTTTGACCAGTGCTTGAAGGAGCACCATAACTGAACTTTGTTAGTGCCCTTATCCAGACTCTCAGATCCTGGACTCTACCCTTATCAAGCTATCTGCCTCTAGAATCCACTAACACTTGGCTTTGGATTCCTAGGAACACAGGATATACTGCGATACCTGTCCACAATAACAATAAGAGCTAGGGGAAGATGGTGGTCAATGGGCAGTGCTGTGGGTGGGTGTCTGATTTAGTAACGAGGTCCACTGGGGTAGAGCTAGAGAGACTGTGAGCCCTTCACAATGTCCTGCCAAACCCACATTCTGCTGCCTTCATTTACACAGCAGGGCTTCCCCGCTCTCCCTGGGGTCCCCACCCAGCTGACCCGGCCTGGGGAACAGTCTCAGGAAAGTACCTACATCTTTGCAGTTTTCTGACTTGGAGAAGTGGATCAGGTCGTCGTTGTACATGTCCTGGGTGTTGAGCAGATCACTGTACTCCTTCTGGCTGAGGTCTTCGGGGTTAATCCCGTTGGCCCTGAGGAATTCCTGGTATGCCACACTGAATGCCTGCCCTATGGACTGTGCGATCAGCTGGGCCTAGAGTAGCAGCCAGAGGGGAAGATGATGGTCAATGGGCAGTGCTGTGGGTGGGTGTCTGATGCACTGTCCCCCCCCCCTGGATTATCATCCTCCTGAATTTAAGGGGTCCTAGACATCAGGTAGGCCAGAAGTTCTACAAAGGATCACCAGTGCCTATCAGGGGCTGTCTTCAAAATTGTTGGGGACATTTCTGATTATGACAATGATCTTAAGGGAGGACAATGGACAGGAGTCAGAGATGCTGAATATCCTGCCATGCAAGGGACAGTTCCATGCAATAACAGGTTGTTTTGTATCCTGTACAGTTTTCAAATATCATACAGGACATTCATGTATGTGTAACACCTGTTTCTAATCATCTGTGTCCAGGACTTGGGACATAAGAACTCTGGCTTATATGCACAAAGACTTTCATAGTGTAGTTACACTGAATGTTCCAAAAACAGTACTGCTTAAGTGGAAGGAAAATGGTTGTTTTGTCCAAGACTTTAGCAGGAGTAGCTTCATGACTTTGGAAAATTATGCACATCACTAGTGTTTGTGGGATCTGAGCTGCCAATAAATCACATCCCTATTGGCCTGTACCCTCACTGTGGTACATGGTGATTCTGCCTGTGTGTTTATATATGCATACTGTTATTTAGCCTTCAATTCAAAATGTCAAGTAGAAAATGTTTACAACATCACACTGAATACTATGTTCTCTTACTTATAAATCAAGAAGGTATAAGCACATTTACATACTGTGCTATGATTTTTACCTTAGCTTGCTTACCTTTTATTTCTCCTTTCTACTATATATGGCCAAATATTGATTATTTTGTGGAAATTTTTCAAAAGGTTGTGTTGGATACAATAGTCAAGAGCTCTGATCCAGTCCAACCCTGCATTTTCTAGGTGAGGAGACTTGGGACTAGGGACACAAAGGTCATACAGCTCATTGGAGGGGGACTTGGCTGCTATTATTTTTCCTCCTGCTCTGGACTTTGATAACTTTCTATGGTTTGCCAGAGGAAAACAGATGCTTAATTTTTCTAAGTTAGACAATCTGGTGACTTCACATGCCAAAACTCACCAAGGACCTGCTGTAAGCCTGGAAGGGAGTGAGGAATTGCTTTGGCATCAAGAGGTGTGTGTAGATGAATTGAAACAATATAACCCAGGAATATGACCTGTGGACTTACTGATCATCATTAATGGATGTACCAACTGGCATTTATGGACCTCTTGCCATATGCCAGGCATCAGCCTGAAAATGCAGCACCTCTGAGTCACACAGTGGCCCAGAGAGGGTGGCACTGCCATTCTACAGAAAAGGACTCTGAGGTTCAGCAGTGCCCAGCTTGTATTTGGAATCAGGATTCCAACCCAGCCCTGCTAGTGCTGCAGACAATGTGCTCGTCCATGCTGTAGTGGAAGCAAAGGTGTGAGAGTCTCGGGTCCACTCCTATCCTAGCTCCTGCTCCTCTGTTCTTTCCATTTTTTTCTGGATGAACCCTCAAGAAATCTCAAGGACAAGAAACCCCTCCTCCTGAGCTCCAGGTCAGATGGTGGCAGCTGGGTGTCCTTGAGATCTTCAAACCTGGTGAGCAGAGCTCTCTCCACTTTTCCACTCCTCTGCAGAACACAGGGGACTTAAGATCTTCAAGTGTCACTCACAAACTTTCTGACAATCTCCTGAAACCCAGTTTGTCCCAGTTTGCATGCCTGGCCTCAGCTTTAAAGAGTGGTAGGAAGAGGCCTTGCAAGCTCCCTACCTCCTCAGCCAGCCTGTCTGGGGGCTGCTTTCTAGAGAACCAGACCAGTAGAGGATAAGTGTCAATAAGTGTCAGTGTTTCCCTGCTGTGTTACAGCCTTCACAGCTCTGGATTCCTGGAGAAAAGGAGGATTGCCTGGGCTCCTAAGTTCTTGGAGGAAGGCAAATTACTGCAGTGAGGTGAACACTTGGCTGGAGAAAAATGGTGCTCTTGGGTAAATTGGGGCTCTCTGCTCCATTCGAGAAACAGACCTTTCCCTCTGTGGCACAGGGAAAAAATGAACAGAGTCCAGGGTGGTGACGTGGCCCTCCGGGTTTGGGCTGTGAGGTTCAAGATCATCATGGGTCTGTGACCCTGTCCTGGAGGGCAGCTTCCCAGGCCTGTGAAGGCCCATGGAGGGTGGGTGCCTGGGGGAAGCCCAGGTGCCATTGCCCTTTAAAGCCTGGCAGCCTTACCAGCTGTTCTAGGGCCAACCTGGAAGAAGGTCAAATGAAAGAATGACCTCTTTTGTAAACTGCCTCTGTTGATCTTATCACCTGGAGATATGAGGATTAGAGACTAGCAGTTCTGGGAGGGAGAAGGAGCTGGGATCCTAGGGACTGGGGCTGAGTGGGTGGGGGGGTCTCCTACCTTTGGCTGGGGGTGGGGGGGGAGGATCAGGGATGTGAACTTTCCTATAGCTAAGGGCAGAGCTGTCAACAACACAGAGTTGCCCTCTCCAAGTTCCTTAAACATCACGTGAGACCTGTTTGTACCCCTGCAGCTGAAGTCTGATGGAACTGTTCCCCCTCTTCCTCTTTCAAGCTCTCCAGCCATATGGCTCCTTTCCCTTCTCAATCAAACCCAGCAGGCCTGTGCCTCAGGGACTTGGCCCTTGCTCTTTCCTCATTTTCACTTTATTCAGGTCTTTGCTCAAATGTCACCCTCTTAAGAGAGGACTTTACTGATCACCCTACTTAAAACAGCCCAATCCCTGTGCTGCTTGACCCTGAGCTACTTCTCAGCCTTTCCTGTTTTTGAGGTGCTAATTTTGAGTTGCTAAGCCTCACTAAGTTGCTAGGGCTGGCCTCGAACTTGTGATCCTTCTGCTCAGCTTTCTGAGCACTGGGATCACAGGTGTGTCATCATGCCTGGCCCCGCTATAATTTTATACCAAGAATATTTATCTATTTATTTTCTGTGACTTTCAACCCATGTGAGTTACTTGTTGTATATTTTATTCAGCCCCATATCCCTAGCTCTAGTACAGTGCCTGATGCATGGCAGGTGCTTAATAAATATCTGTTTAATGTATGATGAATTAGACTGGTTCAGTTCTGAGAAATCGAGAGAATCTGGCCACCCAATTGTTGTCAGGTCACCCAGAGAAAGCTCAAGGGAAGCCACCCTTACATCTTCAGACTCAAAGACATGGCAGATCATCTTGTACTGTCTTTTCCCATCCTGTGATGGGTGGGAGGCCTCGACATTCTCTTGGGAGTTGGAGCGGGGCATCCTCCGGCGGGCCATTAGCACAACGATGTTTCCAATGTCTGCGATGTAGGAAATGGTCCTCAGAGGGTGGTCCATCATTGTCTCCTGGAGGCAAGAGGGGAGAGCCCATAAGTCTAAAGACCTATGAGAAGGTCTGCCATTGGGGTGGGCTTCAGGGCTCATAGCAAAGATCTTGTTGGCAGATTTACAGATACTCCCTCTGGCCTGAGGCATTTCCCTTGACCAACCTAGGGCAAGAAATGCTTTCTGACAGTGAAAAGAAATAAGAAATTTTAAATATTTTATAAACACTAGACTCTCTGGTGAAATGAAAAAGAATGACAAAATCTCAATGACAGGTTTTTCATGCGTGATTTTAAACCAAACTTCTCAAAAGGCTTATCTGTCCCTGTTAATGAAATCTCTGCAGAAAACTCAGGAGAATGACAAACAACGTCCATGTTTTAATTTTTCCTTTGAGCTTTAAGACAATGACAGCCCCACCCAGCAAGAGGCACTAGCAGGGTGCATGGAGCTCAGCAGATGGGGACAGCCACACCGTAGGCACAGGCAAAGACTCTGCCTTGCAATGCTGCTAGGCTTCACCCCAGGAAAGGTGGGAGCCAGCTGGTACCTGTGTGTCGGCGTTCAGTACTTTAATTCTCTGGGTAGAAATGAAGAGGTCCACCTCGGTCATTGGCTGAGATTCGCCTTCAGGAGCCTAAAAAGAAAAAAGCACCAAGACCAAGTTTTACCATGGTGTTCTGATCCAGATAAAAGGGGCAAGGTTAGCTCACACACACAGGCACCAAGACACAGTCACCAGAACAGCAACGCAGACTCTGGGGTTTAATTGCCAAAGCTGAAGGTACCACACAGAGGATGGACACATGGACGAGTGTTAGCATCTTTAGGTTCTGGGGGAAAATGTCGAATCCCCTTTGCAGTAGATTTGGCTCTGAGCAATGATGGCAAGTGGCCCATTCTGCAAGGGTTTTGGAGACTGAAGGATAAGGACAGGATAAGAGCAACTAACTCATACCCAATGACCTTGGAGAAGTCAGTTAGAATTTATCCCCGCTTGAGCTGAAGGGGTACAATGTTTAGAGCAGGTACAAATGAAGCCATTTGGATGCAGTTCTGGTAAGAGGGTCTTCATGTTCATATACCACCCAGCCAACACAGAATCAGCTGCCCACTCCTGAAGCCACCCCAATAAGAAAGAGCCCCAAGGCCTCAATGTCCCAGGAGTAGTTCATAAGCACCTAGAAGCTCCATAATCAAAAAAGCGCAGTCTGGTTCATTTAAGGTTGAACTCTGCACACGTGTGGTTATTAGCGAGTTTTCTTTTTTGCATCCAGCAATCTGACAAATTCCCCAATCAAACATAACTGTAATTGCACAGGCCCAAGTCCCTGCCACATCCCTGCTCCTGAATGGTTGGAACTTACACACTAGTATAGGATTCATTTAGTGTCTCCAATCTGTTCCCTGTCCTTCCTCTGAAGTGAAATGACTAATGAGCAACAAAAAACACAGCCACTGTAGGCAACTGAGTTTTGAGAAATGCTGGCTTATGGGGCGGTTTGAAAAGAAATCTGAACAAAAACTTGCTGGATGCAGAAAATAAAAACACGAAATAATAAAAAGGCAAAACATAAACAAATGAAAAGAACAGGCATAACACCAAGGCGATGGAGTTGTTTGTACTGCACCTTCTTCCTGCTTTTGGCTAATTTCTGGGCCATCTGCTTAGCATGGAACAAACAGAGACAGGAGAATAGTTAGAATTTGCAGAGACTCAAAGTCAAAAAGGGAGGTGACAAAACTAATACTGATAGTGATATGAAGCACTTCTGTAGGAGGAGGACTAGCTTTAAAAAAAAAAAATCCCCCTCTAAAGAAAATTGATTTCCTAATTCAGAACTTAGTAGATGGTGGAGGCAGTGGGATGAAAGAAATTTGTTGAGGTGCTGCCTGTGCCTAAATGCAATGGATATTTTCAAAGAACTCATTTTAGTTGTCTTGATTTTCTTTATTGCATGCCTATTTTTCTGTTTCTTGGATTTTATCCTAGATATTTATTTCCATCTACTTTCTTTGGGTTTAATTTGCTAATTTCCCCCCTCAGTTTCTTGAGATATAAAGTTATATGGTTTCTCAGACTTTTTCCTTTTCTTACATATAAAGCTATGACTCTCCCTGTATGTACTGCTTTGGCTGTCTCCCACAAATTTTGGTATATTGCAGTTTAAGTACTGTCCCATTAAACCATTTTGTAATTTCAACTGTGATTTCTTTGAACCTTGAATTACTTAAAATTGTGTTACTAATTTGAATACATTTGGGGTTTAGTTATTATTTTTGTATTTCTAAATTAATTTTACTGGATCAGAGAATATACTGTATAAAATTTCAGTCTTTTGAAATTTGACCCAGCACATGATTGATTTTGGTTAATGTGTCACATGGACTTCAAAATATGGTATTTTATAGTTGTTGGTTAAGATGATGTTTTAAATCTTGTATGTACTTGCTTTTTTTTATGTGTGTGTGTCATTTTATTCTACCCCTTTACTGAGAAAGGTGTGTTAAAATCTCCAGCTGTTACTATGGTTTACCTATGCATCTTTTGCTCTGTCAATGTTTGCATTGCCTGTTTTGTAGTTATAAGGTGCATGTATATTTAGGGTGGTATAGTTTCTTATTGAATAGATCCTTTTATTTTTTCCCTCTTTATTTCTAAATACTTCCCCTTTCAATTTATAATATTAATTCATGACTAGCTAAAAATGGATATAATATTTCTCCTTTTGCCCATAGTTGAAAAAAATATGGTGGATAAAACTGGGGCTGAACTGTTTAAAACCAAATCCTGGCTCTGCCACCTACTAGTTCTGCGACTTTGAGCTAGCCACTCAATGTCACCGTGCCTCATTTTCTTCTGTGAAATGGGGATAAAACAGTATCTACTTCATGAGATTTTTTTTTTTTTGAGGACAGAATGAATATTTGCAAACTCTTTCAACAGTGCACTAAGTACTTTGTGTCTGCAGATGATTATAATTAACCTATGTCAGAGTGCAATTTCTTGGCTCCTGGCTCTTGGCAAGGCTTGATATATATATAGATACATATATGTATATATATACAGATCTTGTACAAATAATGGTGAGTCAATGGCCAAACTGTGGATGCTGGTTTGGTGATGGGGTGGGGTGGAGGAAAAGCTGAGCTCTCGGACTCCTTGGTACTCACCTGGTGGAAAAGCTCTTCTGCTCAGTAGTATTCCTGTTCCACTAATGTCTAAAGTGTGTTGCCTGTACTAACTCATTTTAGAGAAACTGGATGAGTCAGCCATCCAAACACCAAACAGCTACTCTCTGGTGCACTCAGGAAACTAGGAAAATCCCACTCCCGCTCAGCCACCCCACAGCTCTTCCTAGCGTTATAAGCTCAGGGTGAGCTGTCTGCTCTGGAAAACTCTGAAGGCAGCAGCCACACATTACCCTAACTGCTGGCCATTATGGTGATACTATTTCTGTATCTGAAAACTGCCCTAAGCTGATGCTACTCCATGTCACACATATTCCAATGTAGAATGTGAGAGTCCTGCCTGGGATGTTCTGAACTGCCTCAGTTGTAATCTGCAGTATAAATGACAGCAGTGGGATCCAAACATTTGTTCTCTGCCACCTTTCCTGAAGTGAGATGGCAATGATACAGGAATTTCTACTGCTTTTGATACCAGAGATCCAAGAACAGTTGGTCAAAATTCTCTATCTCCAGAGAACCATGCCTTGAAAGAACTCTTTCAAAGGAAAATAGATCACCACCCATGGAAAACCCAAATTGTTTCTTTCCTGAAATGGGTGATAAGAAGATCAAAACCTGAGTTTCATGAAAAGTCTGCAGAAATAATTTTTATGAAGTTAAAAATATTTTATGCACTTGGATATGATAAGTCATTGATTATTCTAAGTGTCCTGCAACAAATTATAATAAAAAAATGGAGTCAGAGCCAGGATGAGAAATTACAGCATCAGAAAGAGGTTCAGGAGAAATATTAAGCCAGCATGCATTATTAAACCAACAGTGTCCACATCCATTTTAATCCTCATGTTTTGTGGCTTATGAGCCTGGGTGGTGGCACATAAAACAGACTGTGGAGCCATCCACTTACTTCATGTACAATGTGCACTGAGGCTGTTCTGCACTTAAGGTTAGCCACATCCAGCTGCTCCCTGCTGTTCTCTTTTCTTTCTCTAGCCAACATCTACTAAGTACTTAGAAGTGCCAGGAGCCTTCTAAGCATTTCACGTGTAAAAGCTTACAACCATCCTGTGAGGCAGGTGCTATATATCCACACTTTTCAGAAGAGGAAAACGAGGCACAGAGAGGCTAATTAATTGGCCCAACATCACATAACTGTTCTGTGGAGTGGCAGAACAGATTCCAAGCCAGGCAGTCTCACATTACACTCTACACCACTGGTTGTGCAGCCTGGGCAAGCTTCTCTTCTGAGAACTTCTTGGCTTGCCTGTATCATGGAGCTAATAATACCAACCTGTCAGGATTCCCCACCCCCCTCCACCAGATAACGTATACGAAGGGCCTGATGTAAGTGTCAGTATCCTCTTTATTGATCACAGTCCTCTTCAAGCAACATGGGAGACGACATGACTCAGACAAAGCTACAATGATGGAAAATTTAATTCTACAATGAAATCATAAGCTTTGACATTTAAAGGAAATCATAAAAGAATGAGAAAAAAATCTGATTTCTGGGACAGGCTGGTAAAGACAGATATAATAATAATGAATGTTCCTTAAAAAAAGCACACATGCCACAAAATATGTCAACACCACTTGTGATCTGGTTCCATGAGCTTCACAGATACAGCAAGAATGGAGATAGAGACACCACACTGGACATGCACCTGTCTCTCTGGCTCAGTGGGGCTCAGCAGGCCACTCTGTCTTCCTGCTGAAGAGGAGGGAATGAAGTGGAATGAGGGTGGAATGCAGAGAGTGAGGAGAGAAAGGACAGGTGAGCTGGCTGCACAGGTTTCAAGTTCGGTACTCTCCCGACAGTACCAGATGTCCTTACTGTGTTGAGAGAGGTGTGAATCTACCCCGGGCCACCTGAGAGACAGGATGTAGGGCAAAGTTCTCTCCAGAAGTTTCTCCAAAACATCTTGCAGAGAGCATGAGTAAGAAAACATTAGCAGGTGACAGACACAGTGATGATGTACTCTGTGTCCAAGTAATTATGGGAACTGCTGGTGAAGCAAAGTGAACACAATCTTGGGGCAGAACCATTTTGGAAAAGATGTTCAGCATGGTATCTTCATACATGCAAACAGCATGCACTGATCACAACCAATCCCTTTTCTTCCATCCTCCCCTTCCCAGTCTCTAGTAATCACTATTCTACTTTCAGGTGACTTTTTTTTTTAAGCTTTCACATAAGAGAGAGACCATGTAGTATTTGTCTTTCTGTGTCTGGCTTATTTCACTTAACATAATGTCCTCTGAATGTACCCATTTTGCTGTAATGACAGGATTTCATTCTTCTTTATGGCTGAATAATACTCCATTTTGTGTGTGTGTGAGTGTGTGTGCACACACACACACATACACACACCATATTTTATTTATTCACATGTTGATGGCACCAAGGCTGATTCCATATCTTGGCTAATATGAATTATACCACAATAAACATGAATGTGTAGGTATTTCTTTGGTATGCTGAATTCACTTCCTTTGAATACATACCTTGGAGTGGAATTGCTGGATCATATGGTAGATCTAATTTTAGCATTTTGAGGACCATCCATACTATTCTCCATAATGGCTATATAATTTTACTAATTTACATTCCCACCAACAATGTGTAAGTGTTCCTTTTACCCCCATATCCTTGCCAGCATTTTGTTTTGTTTTTTTGATAACAAGCCCTTTTAACTGGGGTGAGATGGTATCCCATTTCAGTTTTGATTTGCATTTCTCTGATGATGAATGATATTGTGATATTGAGCATTTTTCTCATGTATTTGTTGACTGCTTGTATTTCTTCTTTTGAGAAGTATCTATTTAGATCATCTGCTGTGTGTGTGTGTGTGTGTGGGTGGGGGAATGAATGAGAATGAATGAATTTGTTACTATATTTCCCAGGCTGGCCTCTTACTCCTGGGCTCAGGCCATCCTCCTACCTCAGTCTCCTGAGCAGCTGGGACTAAGAGTGCACACCATGGTACCTGGCTGCCCATTTTAAAAACTGGATTACTTCTCTTTCTTATTGCTATTTTGAGTTCTTTATATATTGTGGATATTAATCAGATGAATAGCTGGGAAATATAGTCTCACATCCTGTACGTCGTCTCTTCCCTCTGTTGTTTCCTTTGCTGTGCGGAGGCTTTTTAGTTCAATGTAATCTCATTTGTCAATTTTTGCTGAACTTTGGGGTCCTATCCAGAAAATCACTGCCTGTATCAATGTTTTGAAATGTTTCTCCTATGTTTTCTTTTAGTAGTTTTGGGGTTTGGGTCTTACATCAAGTTCTTTAATACATTCTGAGTCAGTTTTTGCAAAGAGTGAGAGATGTGGGTCAAGGTTTAGCCTTCTGCATGTAAATATTTAATTTTCCCAGCATTATTTATGGAAGAGGCTGTTCTTTCTCCAATGTATATTTCTGGTTCCTTAGTAAAGAACCATTTGGCTGTAGATGTGAGGTTTTATTTCTGGG